TCTCTCTCTCTCTCTCTCTCTCTCTCTCTCTCTCTCTCTCTCTCTCTCTCTCTCTCTCTCTCTCTCTCTCTCTCTCGCTCGCTCGCTCTCTCCCCTGCCACTGTGCCAGCGCCGCCCACTCCTTGTCGCCGCCAAATTAAAACCACCCTTTAAGATAGCCCCCTCTTAATCACCCCTCCTACACCCCTTTTCCATTCACCAACCCCCCTCTCATAGATCAGAGCCCTTCTTTTCCTTTCTTTCTCGAGTCCTTCCGCCTGCCTGCAGAAACCTGGGGTTACAACCTTTGGCTCAGATATCTGTGTGTGTTTTGATTTGAGAGGAAACAAAACTGTGACAACAGATGATAAGCACCAAGTCTTGACTTCCTCTTGCACCGAGGGCGACGAAGCTCCTTAACCGTGAAGCGTAACTCCTTGCTTCCAGCTTCCCAGGAGTGTCGATGCACAAATGAAGTTCCAAAGGACAACAGGATTAGGAATGTGCACATCGTGCCTGCATCCAGCCAGCACCAACTCGACGCAGAAGTACGAGCTAACAGTCGTGCACCATATGACCGTCATGCGTCTCCCTCACGGACGGAAATGAAACGCACGTTGAGAGTCTCAGAGTGTGGCACTGAGCTCCTTGCTTCCAGCTTCCCAGGAGTGTCAATGCACAAATGAAGTTTCAAAGGACAACAGGATTAGGAACGTGCACATCGTGCCCGCATCCAGCCAGCACCAACTTGACGCAGAAGTAGGAGCTAACAGTCGTGCGCCATATGACCGTCATGCATCTCTCTCATGGACGCAAATGAAACGCACGTTGAGAGTCTCAGAGTGTGGCACTGCGTGAACTAATGCCGCCATCAACTCACAGAGATTGCAGAATCAACGAGCAGCAGGTTACGCTGCTGATGCCACCCTGATAACTGCGCTTCTTCAAATTCATTCACCTTCTGTTGGCCTCGCTCCACTACCAAACATTCTACGTAGTAGTACATGCATTTAAACGCTTTTCTCGACTGGATGCATTCGGACGAGTCCAACGCTTTGAATGTACCGGGACGATGAACATAATCTCCAGGTACATCTTGAGATTTCCGTAGTCTAACAAAGGCATGTACCTGTGCTTCCAGGAAACTATGTAGCATGCTTGCTTCTCATTTGATTGCTGGCTGGCTCTATGTAGCTATAGCCTTCAGACGAGGCCGAGATCGGAATAATTTCCTCTGTGGCTTTAGCTTACCTTACGAGGATGATGGACTTTTGAGTGTCCATCTCTTGCATGACCAGCCAGGAAGCTCGGCTGACAGTTAGAGCGCGGGGGGTGGGGGGGGGGAACGGGGGAAGCAGCAGGACGATACCTGACGGCAGGACACAAGATGCTCTCTATCAGTTAATGAGTAGGAACGGCATTCCACCGAAACTTTCAGGTCAGCACAATTTCCATCGAGTTGTGAAAGAAGAAGGAAGACCATGGCAAAGAAACCACAGCAGGATAAACAAAATGGAGAATAAATGAGGAGGAGGAGGAGGAGGAGAGGACCTGCAAAACAACACTGCTGGATACTTTACGTGCCAATGATCGCCAGAGACAGTTGCCCTTCTCATCCAACGAATGGCAGCAGATTCAAGAAGTTGAAAGCAGAGCTGCGCATGCCGTGCATATGATCAGTGCCAATTCCATTTGAGTTGTGAAAGAAGAAGGATAAACAACGACGAGGACAAACAAAATGGAGAATAAATGTTGAGGGGGAGGAGGAGGAGGAGAACAAAGAGAATGAGGAGAACAATACACGAGGAGGAGAAGGGAGGAGAAGGGAGGAGAAGGGAGGAGAGAGGAGAGGAGAAGACAAGGAGAGGAGGAGAGGAGGTGAGGAGAAGACGAGGAGAGAGAGGAAACGAGGAGGAGGAGGAGGCGGATCTGCAAAAAACATTGCTGCATTCTCCATGTGTCTATGATAGCCAGGGGCAGTTGTCCTCTCAATGACATCCAAGGACTGGCAGCAGATTCAAAAAAAATTGAAAGTGAAGCTGCTCCCACTGTGCATAGCAGGATTTCTTGCTCCCCTAAGAGAAGATCTTATTTATGCAGTGAGCACATCTTAAGATGATCTAACTCTATCTTGACCAAAGATTGCTTGCCGAACCAGCTCGTATTCATCAATCAACTGATCAGCAAGTTCATCAATCACTTCATCAATCAATCAATCCGTCAACCAATCAATCCGTCAACCAATCAATCCGTCAACCAACCAATCAAATCAATCAATCAATCAATCAATCAATCGGACATGCGATCCCCACTTCCAAACCCTGAGCTCACGTTTCCTATCGCATCTCCTTCTTCCACTCACTCTATGGCGCGTAGGTCTGTGCCACTTCCGTAAAACCTTCCCTCGGGCTCTACTACTCTTTGCTACCAACGCGAGCTCAGTCATGAGCACCACACGAGAAGACATGCTGTTCTGCTGCAAGAGATCTTTCATTTATTCCTTTTTTTATTTTTAAAGGAGTAATTTTTATTTAAGAGCTGGAAAATGGGTCCAGCGTCCCACACTCCTCGCTTCTCTCCATTACGGTCGAGAGAACCCAAGACAGCAGGCATTGATGACTTCCATTTTAGGAAAGAACAACCCCTGCTCCACCCCCCCGTTCAGATCGCAAACTGAACCGTCTTCTATGGCTCGAACACGGGTCCAGCATCCCCCTGAAAAAGGAAATAAAATCCTTCGCTGACGCTGGACTGTAACTGAAAGAAAAAAGATTTTGGCTCCTCTCAACCTTCATGAAAATGAGAAGGCTGTCGGATATCAGCGTGCTGCTCGAGAGCTCTTTACCAAACCTCTTTTTTTCCATAGTCCCAAGAAGAAGCTGCGATCCGCGCGCAGTCCGCACTTAGACTTGTCCACTACTCTCCGATAACCTGCCTGCATCAAGCCGCCGATTCACACGTCGAGGTCGAGCCTAAGTTGACGAGCCGCATTCACTACCGGGCCAGCTGCGGGGCATTCATCGCCTAACCGTGTAAGCCCGTAAGCGCCCGACTAAGCTTTCCGACGAACGGGTGTTTTTATCTACCAATTCGTCATTGACGATTCTCTCCAAGTGCTGTTCTCCACGATGCCGCTAGGAGAAGGACAGGGAGAAGGATGTGAAGCAAGGATTGGGAAAAAGAAAGAGGAGCGAGTGACTGTGTACCTGCCTGCGCCAGCTCCTGCCACTGCACTGCTTCATGGCCATCTCTTATAGATCCAGACGACCGCCGTTTTCTCCCAGAACGGCGCCTCTCTACCCCATACACTAACCGCCTCTGCAGATCCTCCTTTTCTCAAAAGGGATGGGGGGGGGGAGAAAAAAAAGCCAGCTCCTTTTCTATACTTGGGGAGCTGCACGTGTTTCAAAGCGGGTCCAGCGTCCCTGGAGACAAAAAACAATGCACCCCTCACTGTACGCTTTCCCACATTGTAGATCCTCTAATATAATACCACCCCTAACAACGTTCCAGCAGCCGCTCTCCGTACCTTGAGGTTTCCCGGCTTCTAAACTCCATCCGGCTGGCGTCTATCCTGCCTATTTCCTTAACCAGTGTAGTTAACAACTGACACTGGAGTTTGAACCTGTGAACTCATCGGAGTTTACATCTGTCCAGTCTCTCTCTCTCTCTCTCTCTTCTATCCTTGTGCAAGTTTTCACTGCTGCTTTTTGGTCATGGGACTCTAACAAGCCGTGCTCCGCGATTGCACAGACTGTTCAGCTATAAACCGGAGTAAAGGGGGGGAGGGAAGGCGGGAGGGGGGAAAGGTACCTTTTTCCTGCAGTGGGGGGTCGTAAGCGGGCCTATCGCTCCTTGCCTGGGTTCTCCTCTCAGTCTATTACTGTGCTCTTGTCAGAGATAGCTTCTGTGTACAGGGGAAGGGGTCTATGCATCTGCACAACGCAGATTTCATTCTACGACATAGAGACAACTCCCACCTAGGGGGGATAACCTGGGGGGGGGGGGGGGTTACCCACTGAATGAGAGGGGAAATATTTCATTTTTCGGTTACAAAACTTAAAACTGCTTCCCCTTCTGAGTTGGCCTCCTTTCTGTACCACAAACCTCCACTTCAAATTGGAATTGGCTAAGACCCTTTCTCTGTGTCTAGCTTAGTCTCTGCATCATCCATCTATTCCTTTTTTAACCGCTTTAAAACCGGACCTTTGTTTAAACCTCTTTGAAACCGGACCGTTTTAAAACCTCTCTGAAACCGGACCATTTAAATCCGTTGGAGCGACGGGCAGTGCCTATACGGACCAGGGACGCAATCAGCGCGAGATGATGACAAGAAGAAATAAGTGAACCATCATCATCATCATCATCTACTAACTGATCAAAACCCCCTAAAACCCTGACACGGCAATATGGTAGCTGTCCAAAGCATTACAGTCGCCGTACAGTGGGTCCTGTCTCTAAGCCACCGACTGACCTCCAGCAGAAGCTCACATCTGCTCGCCACGTTATTACCCGCAACCCTCTCGCACCAACGACAATTTAGATCTTCATTGCAAGGCAAGAAACATTACACATCCCACCCACGGGCAGAACCCGTCTGCCTCGTCAGACATCCACCAGCAGTCTCTGAGAGAGAAGCAGTTTTCCTTTCTCCAATGACGACTGCGATGCATGCCCATGTTTCCTTGCAGCATACTTGTCTGCAGCAGTCCACCTGCAATGGAAACGCCACACAACTGACAACCGACCGCTCCTGAACTGTGACCCTGCAGCAAACAATACGCAGCGCTCACGTGACCCGACCCCAAACAATAAAAAAGAAACTGCATTTTTCTGGCGATGAACGAAAAAAGGACAGAAGTCACCTCTCTTTGTCTTCTTCGGGTTCTTCTCGCCATGCCGGGAACGCCTGCGATGGAATCAACCTTTATCGTTGCGGTACAGACAGCCAACTGACTGTGGTCCTGACACCTGCAATCGAACGACCTCGGCCTTCTTCCCATACAAAGACAACCGGCTGTTCCTTAACTGCCGCCGCAATAAGCAATTAAGCACAGTGCTCCCGTGACCGACCGCAAACAATAAACTGCATTCCGGTGATGAAGGAAGGGCAGACATCAGTCTTCTTCTGCTGGTTCTTCTGGTTATGCCTGAAACACCCGCGATGGAAACAGCAAACTCTTCCCCTACACACAGCCAACTCACTGCTCCAAACACCTGCAACAAAAACACCTCACCATTCTCCTATACATAGACAACAAACCGATCCTAACTGATGCCGCGCCAAACAATACATAGTGCTCACTTGGCAGAGCCCAAACCAATAAAACTTAGCTGCATTCTGGGTGATGAAGGAAGGACAGAAGAAGTCAGCTCTTCTTCTGGTTCTTCTGGTTCTTCTGGTTCTTCTGGTCATGCCGGATTTACCGGAATGATCACTTTACTGAAGATAGTGCTGCTGGCCTATCTATACTGAAGATCAGTAGAAAGAGAAAGAGCTACCTGATTAACTGTTGCATCGCACAAAGCAGGGATGACACTCACCTCAGTGCAGAAAAAACACATGAAGCAAACACGGCGTGCACACAGCACATCCCACGAAGTTCGTCTTCATCGCATTCTCACCCACGGAACCGAATTTGTGCTCGCCAAGTTCGCATCAGCACGCAATGACATGCAGTGAGCTGCTGAAGAGTCACGAAACTCCGTCCTCCTTGTCTTTGCTCGACCGAGTCTCTTGGATTTCTTCAAGATCGTCATCTCCTTCACCAAACTTCTTCCCAGCTTGCTCTTTCCAGTAAGTAATCGCCTTCTTCAGCTTCAAGACCTCCTTCGACTGGATGTTCCGACTTGCTTCGTTCGTTATCGACCGGACACGCGTTGCGTAGCCTAGCGAGCTATGCGTCTCCTCTAAGTTACTCTCCGCCGGCGAAATGTTCACAAACATCAGGGTCTTGGCGTTCCCGCCAAGAGAGTCACTCATCAGCATGGTCAGCTTGTGGTTGCGATATGGAATGTGCGGTTCGTCGGTGGCGAGTGCCGAGATGACATCTCCGAGAGCGCTTAATGACTTGTTAATTGACTGTGCCTCTTTGAGTTGTTCGCCAGCGGATCCCGACTTCTTCACACGCTCTGATCCCGCCAGATCCACAAAGCTGAGCTTTCCCTTCACCAGAGCTTGCGTTTGAAGATTTGTGCTCTCGATGACGACGGACAGGATAAGATGCGACCGCGAGCTCTCCGCGTTCATCTGCGTTCCGGAGACATGGCGTTTGTCGATTCCTCTTGCAACGCATGACTCAAGCTCCTGAGCATTCTGAACAGTGATGAGCGTTGCATTCTCCACAACCACCATCCCCTTGGAATCTTTCTTGATATCCAGCTTTTGGCGCTTGGCATTTTTCGGGAGCAGCAGGTCTTGCAACGTATCTTGATACAGCTCAAGCATGTAAACCTTGAGTGTGAAGCTGAACTTGTTGCTGTCCCGCTTCAGGCACCGGAAGAGCTCCTTGATGGCACGAGGAGTGAGGCCCGGACGATCCTGTCCGCCGTAAATCGTGAACGTCTTTCCCGAGCCCGTTTGCCCGTATGCGAAGATGCAGACGTTGTACCCATCGATCGCAGACTGAACCAGATACTGTGTGTCTTCGAAAATCTGTTCTTGTGTCGCACCGCTGTCAAACACATGATCAAACTGGTGCTGCTTCGGCTTCCCGTCCTTCCACGGATGCTCGATTGTGAACTCGTCAGGCATCGCTATGACGTACTTCTCCTTATCCCCTCTCTCCTTCTCGGTCAGCGGCCGGCATCGTGCATACACACGGATTTTCCCTTTCATATCTTCCATCATGTTGAAATACCTCTTACGAAGGATCTGCTCCTCTTTATACAGAGTTTCGAGCGCATTGATCTGCTCCGCCTGTCTCTTCACAATGCCGGCCGTCTGCGCGTTTTTCCTGTCGATATCCTCCTTCATCTCCCTGAGCTCCTCGAGCTCCTTCAGGTCAGTTTGCATGGAGTCCATGTCTGCAGCAAGCTCCGTGAGCCTGTTCTGTGTCTCCTGCAGCTCCTTTGTTCTGTCCCTTAACTTACTTTCCATTTCCAGCGTTCGCCCCCTATACTCCTCCCTCTCAAGGCTAAACTTCTGCTCAAGCGCCCTCGATTCTCCTGCCTTGGACTTTTCCAGTCTCTGCAGCTTCTGCTCAAGCAGCTGCTTGTCCTTTGCAGTCTTCTTCGCCGCCTGGTCAAGTTGCCGCAGCTCATCGGTCTTCGCCTTCAGCTCAGACTTCAACTCCCTTACCTGACTCTCCAAGCTGCGGATCTTTTGCTGCTGCTCCCTCGTATCTCCTGGGATCTCCTTCCTGCTGCCAGCAGTCGCCGTAGAACGGGCTGACACAGGTCTCCTCCCCTGGCTGGCAGTTGGACAGCTCGCAGCTTCCGCTTCGGCTTGTAAAGCTGACACCTTCAAGTTCGCCGCCGGCGCGAAAGGAGTCGTCGGAGTCTCTGCAAAAGCATCGCCCGACGATGCCACCTTCATCGTCTCGCCAGCGGCCAAGGCAAGATGGAGGGCAATTTCCTTATCGTCCAGAGCCTTCTGCAACCGCTCTTTCTCTTGCGAAATCTCGGATCTGGTCTGTTCCTCAGACCTTAAGCAGTCCTTCAGCTCTTCGATTTCCTCCTGCAGCTTCTTCCGCTCAACGTCCGTTGATCTTAGATCCCCGTGCATCTGGTCAATCTTCTTGTTCGCATTCTCAAGCAGCTCGTTCATCTCTTGGATGTGCTTCTGATAAAGCTCGCCAAGCTTCTGCGAACCTCCAGCCGCTGCCACCGCGGCGACTGTCACCGCCATTTCGGTAGCCTGACCGCTCTGCGTCGCCGCAGCAGCATCGCCGCCGCCGCCAACAGCAGCAGCAGCAGCAGCAACTGCAGCCGCCTGCGCGGCACGCGTCCTGGAGTACCTCCGCAGCATCACGTCGTTGATGTGTGTCTGCAGCGCCACGCATATGTCCTCCCCCTGCTTCGTCTCAAACTGTAAGATGTGCAGCACTCCAGCCACCCTCATCTTGAAAAAGACTGCCGTGCTGCTGCTTCCGAATTGCATGATATCGCGCAACTCAGCGCTGTGCAAGTACTCCTTTGGCACAGGCCGGAAGAAGTGCACCCCACGTTTGTTGATGCCAAGGACAAGCCGCCCTGGAAGGAGCCCGATCGGGTCCTCGATCCTGCGCACATTGAAAAACACTGAGTTTCCATACGGCAGCGAGCGGAGAATTCTCAGAAGCTGCTGCCTCGCATCGTCTTTGGACAGATGCGCCATCGACTTCAATCTCTGCAGAACATCTGCGTCCCACTCCTCCTTCGCCCTCGTCAAAGCGATCTGCCTGGGGATGCTCCTCTCCAACGGGATTGCCCGATCACGCGAGGTCTCGGCGCCCGACACAGGCCCCGTCTCTGCCCGAATCTGCAAAGCAGAGAGCTGCGCAGCGTCGTCTCTTCCCACTGGGTAATTGCCTAAGAGATAGTCATGCTGCGCCTGCACATAAGAAAGCTGTATAAACATAGGCTCGCTGATGGCCTCATCGGTCTCTCTGAACAGCCTCTTCTTGAACAGGAGCTTGCATTGCACCACCTCCCCTCCCTTCATCTTCTCTTTCATTTGCTTGAACTCAGCCACTATGTCGCCGATGTACTTGTTGTCGTCGAGTCCAATGTGTTCATCTGCCAGCGATTCCGAGGACTTGTAGCCCGACACAAGTTTGCGGAGCTCAAAGAGCGAAAAAGTCTGGAAATGCTTCAGCTTGATGATGGTCGACAAGTCCTCAACAGCTTCCAGTACTGTTGTCGTCATATCATACTTCAGCTCTTCAAATGTGTCATCCAGAAAGAAGGCGATGGTGGTCAATCTCCTCCCTTCCTTCAGTGCCTCAACCTCTTCAGGGGAGGGGACGGTCCGCCGAGCGCCAGCTTTCACTGACCGCTTGAGGGCATCCCATGTCCTGGCTGCCATGTTCTTCGCCTTGGGATCCAGCAGCTTGTTGTGAGCGTTCTCGTGGACGTACTCCGACAGATACCCCGCAAAGTCCTTTCCTGGTGGCATGGCAGAAGCGCACAAGTACATAAGTTCCCACGTCTTCGCGCACCACTGGGCGCTCGGATTGTTGCGCGTCTGTTTCATCAGCTGAGCAAAGAGCTCGTCGCGGAGCTCGGCGCGCTTCAGCGTGTGCTTGTACAGTTTGATCACCATAGCCACCTGCTCGCTCTCACTCATAGCTCCTCCATCCACGCCCGTGTACTTGAGCACACCATGGAAAAGCTTGACCGCCTTTGTCGTCAGCTCCGCATTCAGCTTCAGAAGCGAGGTCGGCATCGGATCCTTCTGGAAGGACATCATGCCCTCCACACCGTACTTGATTTCCTTCGTCCCAATCCCAGATCCCGACTTCCTCCACAGCAGACCCCTTTTCGCAGTGGAGTTCATCTGTCTCTGGACAGCCTTGAGAAAGACGTCGATCTGATATCTGTCCATGCCCGGCAGATTGTAATCAGTTGGTGGCTGCGGAACACTGCCGCCGCCGCCGCCGCCCCCGCCGCCCCCGCCGCCGCCGCCGCCGCCGCCGCCATTCGACTTGCACGCGCTTAAAGGTTCATCTGCTTCTCCAACGAGGGACTGTTCATCCATGGACACGTCAGCGCTCAAGGAGTGCCGTCGCCGACTCCCTACCGGCGTGATCTCGGGAATGTCGGTATCGCTATCATTGCCCGCCTGTGATGCACCTCCATATTTGGGGGTACAAGGCCCTCCGTCCTCCAAAGCATCACCGGGATCTGGTGAGCATTTGCCAGAAGGACAAGGCGCCGCCGCCAGGGAGATGGCTCCCCTGCCCTCAGGAAGTTCGACGGACAGGCCACGTTTTGGCCGCGCAGCTGCCGATGGTTGGCTGCTCAGACCTTCCAGCGGAGAGGATGACGACTCCGCCGCGACCGAACCAGGCGCAGATGCGCGGACGCCTGCGCCAGCCGGCGCCGCCCCCCGGACCCCCGGCTTGCCAGGAGGGCTGAAAGGTCTCGTCCCCCCGGCGCCACCTCCTCCTCCTCCTCCTGCTCCTCCGCCCCCCCCACCCTTCGACATTGTTGTCCGCGAGCCTCCTGCGCTCGAGCGCAAGCGAGCCTCCTGCCGCCGCAGGCTTCCCCCACCGTTGCGACTCGTCTTCACCGCTGTCCCTGCGGCCGGCGGAATCTCCAGCTTCCGAACGTTCGCGGCTCCGGAGGGACCTCCTCCTCGCCACGGTCAGTGGCGCTGGCTGTCACATCAGCGTTCCTGAGGGAGGAAGTAGATGAACCGCCGACGAACGCCTCCCCTCCCTCCTCCGCCTGTGGAGTCGCTTTCAGGCCATGCAAAAACCATCTGCCTTGGGGAAAAGGGGGGGGGAGCGGAAGACGGTGGGGAAGGAGAGAGCGAACGAGGGGAAAAGGGGGGGGAAAGGGCCAAGGGCATGCTCAGAGGAGCATCTTCACAAGGTACCTAACCACAATAACAACCACATTCAGTCCACAAGGTTATCGTGTGAGTACGCTCTGAACGGACTTTTCTCCCAAGAAAAAGGAGGGCAGAATTGGGAAAGGGGAGACAGCGCACGGGGAGGGGGGCCGCAGGTGAAGGGGAAGCGGGGAGAGGGGGGGTGAGGAGGTGGGGCGACTTTGGATGCTGTTAAGTGCACTCCATGCCGAGATCGGCATCGAGATCGGTATCGAGCTAACTCCGACGGATCTTCCATTCCGGCAATCCCGACCATCTGCCCACGTGGCAGAAGATTCGCTGCTCCAAACGTATCTTTTTTTGCAAACGTCTCTTTTTACATTTGCCATTTTTTTGTTTTTTTTCCGTATGTTATTCGAGTCGGACTCGATTCGAGCTCGGGTCTATTAAAAAAAAAAAAAAAAAAAAAAAAAAACTCGGGGTGTATCTCAACAGTTCAAGGGGGTAACAACTGAGATAGGCCCGTTGGTGTTTTTTGCATCTTTCATTGAAAAAACAGAGTTCAACAATCACAAAAAATTAACCCAAAAAAAATTAGGAGGGAGAAATCAAAAGTGAGTGCAAAACAGATTATTCCCCTTTCCCCTCTTCCCTCTCGCTCCCGCCATCGCCATCGCCATCGCCATCGTTATCCCACTCCTAACCCGCCATCCCCATCGCCAGCATCAAAACAGATTATTCCCCTCTCGCTCCCGCCATCGCCATCGCCATCGCTATCGCACACCTGACCCGCCATCCCCATCGCCAGCATCATCACCATCAACATCGCCATCACCACCGCCAACGCCATCGCCATCGCTTTTGCGCACCTGGCCCGCCGCCATCGCCATCGTCAGCGTCATCGTCATCGTCATCAGTCATCGCCATCACCCTCACTATCGCCAGCTCCTTTTATCGCCATCCCTATCGCACACCTGGCCCGCCATCGCCATCGCCATCATCATCATCATCAGTCATCCCCATCACCCTCACTATCGCCAGCTCCCTCTATCGCTCACCTGGCCCGCCATCGCCATCATCATCGCCATCATCATCACCATCACCATCGCCATCGCCATCGCCATCATCATCATCATCATCATCCTCGCCATCACCATTGCTCCTTTCATACTCCGCCCACTTCAAACAGGCATCATACTGGCACGTCAACACCACCTTTACCACCGAATAGAACGCTCGGTCATTATAGCTGGCTGCATTTGGGGCAGGGCAATTTTCAGTCCTGGTCCAGCGATAATGACCAGGCGTTCTATTCGGGTGAAGGCCGTAATTCCCGATAACACGAAGCCCGTAGCAGAGATCCATATAACGGGATGTCAACATTAATTCCGGACGACTCCTACCAGTAGCGAAGCGTAGCGGCGGCTACGGCAGAAACAATTGCCGATCTTTTCGATTTTCCTGAATTTTGTCTTTTCCCTTTTTTTTTTTTTCTTTTTTCTTTAGGACGTTTTTCACTGTATTTAAAAATCAAACATTACCGATTTTGCAGCATTTTCTTTCTTACATGCCGTTTACGGTATAGATTTTCCGATTTGTTCCTGTCACAGTGACTCCATTGATTTGAACTGTGATCTTACAGCTCGACAGCAGGCCTCGTTTTCCCGCCATAACATCTACAAAATAGACGCTAATGAAAATTATTTACAGAAAAAGTCTCGCTGATCCTAGAGAGACTGCTTACCTTGTCCACATCTCTCTCTCTCTCTCTCTCTCTCTCTCTCTCTCTCTCTCTCTCTCTCTCTCTCTCTCTCTCTCTCTGCGTGTCTGTGTGCGGAAACACATGTACCTCCCACAATCTCTCTCTCTCTCTCTCTCTCTCTCTCTCTCTCTCTCTCTCTCTCT